ATTTTCATAATCGTTGGGTTGTAGTCATATATTCCCAATTACACAAGTGTTTTAAAATAACGAAAACATTCATGTTTTGGTAATGTCAAATTTAAAAACCAAAATTAATTTTGGGAAAATACTGAAATCTAAGTTTTAATGCGGTGTCCTGATTCCTACATTTATTTATAGTTAGGAAAGTGCGGCCTATACGGTATAATGGTTATGTGTCCGTCCTTTCATAGAAAGTAACGGTAGCCACCTGTTAGGTGCTTAGGTAATGAAATGGTCACCACTTTCGGTCTCTGCAGTGGCGCAAGGCTAATGGCTATTAAAGCGCTCGGCCATTTAAATATATATATATATATAAGTTTTATACTTGTTATAAAAAAAATAAAAGTACAGAAAGTGTGACTTCCGTACGACAAAAACTGACCGGAATATTTAATTTTAAAATTGACAGATTTTGATGTCATTTTTAACTTGCTTTGAAGGATCGGTTAATTAAATTTGAATAATTCGAGGAAGTAAGCTTAAAAGAAGTGCAGTAAAATGTGTATAATTTAATAAGCTGTACAAGGAAGTCATGTAGTGTTCACATCAGGTCTTTTTTAATCAAATTTCTAAAGCACGTTTAACAAAGTATAAACTAAAAAAGGAACTGAGAGGTTTTAGATTCTAACGGTCTCTCAAAGGCGTTTTTAAAAAATTTTTACGCTGTCGCTGAGCTCGCAGTTAACTTTTCAAACTGTTGCCACCAAATATTTGAGCCCTGCATTATATTTAAAGAACTTAAATAATGAAGAATCTGCATGAATGTATGTATGTTTCTCGCACTCTGAAATAAACAACGGTACCTATAAAGACATCAAATTTTAAACAACGTATTCCTGCACTCGAAAATGGGCATCTCGAAGCCCAAATTTGGAATTGTTTTATTATTTATTTCATATTTTGAAAACCTTTAACAAATTTTTGATTAACAAACTCATCGATTTCAAAACGAGGAATAGCAAAAAAAAAAAAAAAATCTCCAGCGCACGGGACTGTGTATCGGTAATTCTAAACATATACTATTTTTAAATTACTTTGTGATATTTCTGTTAAATTGAATTTCATGTGGTTTAAGTCCGAAGAACATGATATTTAATAAATAAAGATAGCACAAAAAACGTTAAAAAACGCCTCTTTGGGCGCTCCCTCTTGCAACCACGTCTCCCATTGCAACATAGGCCATTTCAAAACACGCACGACACGAACAAACGAGCATTTAAACCACTCCGCCAAAAGAGTTCTCAATGTCAAAAGGGTTGCCATACAACACGCAATCGCGCCAAAAACCAGCGCTGAACACATATCGCCACATTTGGTGATCTTAGAGCGCATATAAGAGTAGAGCCAGGCAAGTTTAAAGGCTGCGATATTTTTCATCGTCCATCTTTTGTTCCACAATTAAAAGAATGAGTTTTTAAGCTGTGATTACACACATGATTATGGAACTTTTATTGTACTTATGAACAGTTGCTGAACACTTTTGTGGGTTAGATTATTTGATTGCAACAAAGCACACTAGAGCAACCTGTCTAACGGAAAGGGTACAGAGTTCCTCATTTTTATTCTGTTAGATTAAGTATCGAGGAACCTAGTTTAGTTCAAAGGCCAAAAGCGTCTTTCTTCAGGCGTACAGCAAAGCCTCCACTTGGGCTTGGACTCAAAAATAAGAAATAAGAACTAACTAAACTAACTACGACTAACTAAGAGATTTAGGCGAAGCTAACACAATCTTAACGTAGTTGTCCCGTAATCTGAACTACCCGACGAAAGATAGGTAATAATACGGCCGAGATGCTGTCAAAAGATAGGTAATAATACGGCCGAGCGTCACACCAGCTTAGAGAGACGTAGCCCAAAGGTAAGCGTGCGTAACTCAGGATTCCTAACTCTCTCTGCCGAAGTCAGTTGAACTTTCCTTTAATATTATCTCTTCTTCATTTGCATTCAACAGATTTCTAAAAACTCATTCTGGTAGGGAGTTGCAAGTTGAAATGAGGTAAGATAGGAAAGGTTCACTAAATTAAAATAACTGTTATAAAATTAAAATACACCTTACAAGCGAAACTGTCATGAAGAACTTTCTGTAAGAAACTGGCTCCTATTCATGTTATCTATAGGGAAAATGGGCCCACTAGCGACTGAGTGTTTAAGTCGCTGAACACTGGTAATTCGGTTCAGGATTAAAATCCCGGCGAACAGGCTAGCTGCATGCATATTTTCGTAGATTTCTCCATGTGTAACGCGCATACGAATCAGTTTACCTTAGAAAGACCTCCACGATGGCAACCCACTTAGGCAGATTGCCTTCGAGGGCTTTGCCATAATTAAATAAATCAATCCTAGGATAAACAATGAAAACGCTAGTGAAATCCTTATAAATGGATCTTGATCTCTTGCTTTTGTTGTATTTATGTTTATCACGGGTTTATAAACTTCTACTGTTTTACTTTTTTAAAGAAATGAAAAATCTAATATTTAATACTAAAAAAAATCATCGAACGTATACCAAAGTTACCTGAACTTTATTTGGGGAATAAAAAGAAAACCATTATTTCTGGGGATGGAACATCAGAACCGTTAAATCTCAAGAATCCTGAAAACGATTCAAGATTCAGAAATTAAAAATTTCAAGCTTTTTCCATCTTTCGATTTTTTTTTTAATTCAGACCTTAAAAGGAGTTAAATCTCTTAATTCAGAATTTAAAGTGCAGAGATTTTTACAGTCAGAAACGCCCACACTTTGCCCGGAATTAAAACTGTGGCCTTTTGAAGTGCTGCCACCAGAGAGAAACAAAAACTGACGTTTAATTAAGCATAATACACTAACTTTAAAAAACGCACAATTTACTTTCATACATTCTGATACGTTTTGTTTAGTTGTTGTATGCATTCATATATTTTCAGCAACTGTTATTAATATTAACACACAAAGCAACATTCCAATGTCATCTAATGTAGATTCAAACTCAAAGGTGAATATAATCGACAGAAATTTAAAGCTTTGCAGTCTTTATTCCAAGGGGTTATTATTTCAAACGCTTTAATTAAGTTGGATTCGATGACACTTTTAGAGAGATAATTCCCTTTTATTATCCTTTTTGATAAAACCAATTCTCTAGCGAAATAGCTCCCTTGAATCAACTGTAAACATTGGCTGATGCAGATATTTTCCTTGCCATAAAAAAGAACTTAAAAAAGATACCCATAAAAAAGAACTTTTTTTAGTTACATTGCTTCTACAATTTTGCTGATAGTAGTAATATTTAAGCACCAAACTCCTCGTTTGAAGCTTTCACGGTTGAAGAAATTATCAAAATACTAACTGCATGCCATTTAAGTGGAAGAAAAAATATGTGAATGGAAAATTTAACTAATCTAAAGTTGTTGTTTTTTTGCCTAATTTTAAATGCGTGCTATTCGTTTCATCATGCAAGGAAGAAAGAGTTATAATAATCATTCATTATAACGAGCAGGGATGATCAGAATAAAATCAATATTATAAGACTATTCGTACTTTATTCGACAAAAGCCCACTAGGTAGGAAAAAAATGAATACTTTCATAATAAAAAACGAAACTATGCACACTGCTGCCTTGTTGGCCTGGTGATAATTGCCGTTAACTTAAGCTCCGGGTTGAAACCCGAAGACCTGCATCTTTATAAGTATATAATGGTTTTGCAGCATGGGAATACTTAAAATACTGTCCATCCGAATGTCCTCTCCAGAGGTTGCTGGTAGGGGAAAAGAGATGGGATCAATAGCTGAACAATTAAAATTCAGGCATATGACCTTGCTGTAAGTTCAGGTCAGGAAAAATAGAAATAATTAACAACTGAGTAAACTAAATGAAAAAAAAAGGGGACGCTTTCTAATCACCCCTCCAGATATTTAAATGCAAAATTGTAAACAACTTGCATTTATTGTCTGAAAAGCCCGAGTTAGTATATATATTAGATCCCTAAAGGACACTCTAAAGAAACATATAACCATATCGAATTCCAGAGCAAGATTGCTTTTTTAGTGTACTTGTAACATAGGCGTACATTGATGTACTGCATTGGGGTACGCGTAAAACTGTTACAAAAAGCAGATTATGCTTAACTGCACCAGCACAAAAAAAAAATAACATACGTTTGTGGTTTAATTAGGATATGTACTTTTTATTTGTGGCATATTTATTTATTTATGGAAATGCTGTATTCAAATCAAAGAGAAATAAAACCAATTTCGAATTTACTGCGGACGGCACCCACAGTTAACCAAAAATTATGGTTACCTGAGGGCATTTAAAAAAAAGCACGAAAAAGGATTGGCCTATTTTATAACTAACAAAAAATATTTCTAACAATTTGCTTTTATATCCTAGCAGTTATTCTTAACAATAAGTTCGTTTGGTTATAAAAGTTTAATTGATATTCAGAACAAGTCAAAAACACATACAAAATAATGCGTCCTTAGAAATGAAGAAATAAGATTCCATATAACTCTGGCATCATCTTTTGTCAGTATTCTCGTCAAATTTTCGGTAGACATTTTTGTTTTACGCTGATACATCGTGATAGCAATTTTTCCAACGTTTCGCAATTCAAAAGACTTCGTTATATTTTTATAGGATCCAGTTGATTTGTAATCCGGTTAAATTATCCCTCATTAATACGAAGTTGACTTTATATTTTAAAGTTGTAATTAATATTATATTCCTCTTATCGCGGAACTTTTTTTACCAATATGGTAATGCTTCAAATTCATGGTATTATGTGACTTCAGATTCCTCGTCTATTTTCAAAAGGTTTCTGGATTCTTTGTGTGACACTTGTGATTGAGAATCCGTACACTAATTCCTTAATTTTTTATATAAATTTTACTGATATTTTTATTTATTTTTTAGTTTTCGGCTTCCTGAACAATTTTTATGTGATAAATATTCCTTTCAAGTTCTGTAATTTATTATTTTTTCCTCCTATAGATGGCTATACTGTTCCAGCTGGAACAACCTGTATGCTAGCGACTTTCATGCTTCATAGAAATCCTGAAATATTTCCCAATCCTGAAGTCTTTGATCCAGATAGATTTTTGCCAGAAAACTGCATTGGTCGCCATCCATTTGCTTATGTACCTTTCTCGGCTGGACCGCGAAATTGTATTGGTAAGTGAAGGACAGGATTTTGTCCAAGTGTTGGCATATGTCTAAAATATAAAATATACAGTAAAGATTAACAGGGAAACATTTTTGTCAAAATGCGAATACACTTTTACTATTTGAACTGAATAACAACTTAACAGTACAGATCGCTTTACTGTATTTGGACATTCAGAATCTCTAAAGCATATCTATGAAGTAGAATGAAAAAATTGATAGTCATAGTTAAAACAAATCTGTAGAATGCCTTCGTTTTGAAATATTAAAGATTTTGAGGTACTAACGTACTAACACAACCCCTTGGCGCAATCCGGGGATCATTAAAGATGAAAAAGTAAAAGTTACTTATTGAATACTAATTGGTGGTTTTTGCGCTTTTTTTTTTTTTTTTTTTTTTAAAGAAAGATTCCCAAACAATCGGTACTTATCATAAGTTGGTATAGATTATCAACATAGGGAAAGAAACTTACTTTAATTTTTTAGCAATTTAAAATAGAAGTTTGAATTATTAAATAAAAATACATATCAGATTAAAAAATAAAACACTTACATTCTTCTTCAAATCCTGAATTTGCTTAAAAAAACCATCAAAGAATAGCAGAGACTCAGCTTCGTATAATCTTATTGCTGGCAGATTCCAGAAGCTCGTATTTTAAAATTAAGGCAAAAAATATCACGATTTGTTCATAAAAACCATGGAAAACAACAAAAAAGAACGCAGGCGAAAATGGCGCCGTTGCTTTACTGAAGACCTGCTATCAGCATGGTTGCCAAAGGAATGGTTATGAGCATGGTTAGCAGAGTTTGGCACATTCTGAAAATTTGACCACTCCTACTAAGGTGGTTGCGTTAATGCTTAAGTATCGATTTTTATTGCGTTTAATTGTTTTATAAAATGTCTACCTTATTTCTAAAACTTTAAATATTTTTTAAACATATGAATATTAGCCTGTATAGCTTTGATTATATATTTCATTTAGGTCCCCTAACATATATATTTCATTTAGGTCCCCTAACATATATATTTATTTAGGTCCCATAACACATAAATACTTAATCTGCCTTTCGCAATGCTATTGAAATGGATTCCTTATATCTCGAAAACTTGCATTTTGAATTAAGGTATACATTATGATAATTTTGCGAAGGAGTAAGAGTTACCCTAATTGTTATTTATTTCAATACAGTAGTGTTCGTATGTGATGCCAGCGCACCTACCCGAGCAATATACATGAAAAATATTGATGGAGTTAAATCTAATAAGGAAATAAGTTCTTATTTATGGTATTAATACAACCACTTTGGCTCAATTTGGCAATTTTTACAGAAGAAAAAGAATAGTGATTTATGGTAGGAAATATTTATTTGTTACATAAATACCCATTTTCAATTTAATTGAAAATAAATCAATAAACCTACCCTATAAGATATTTGTTTTTTTAGTTTATTGGAAAGTTCGTGACAATCCCTTTAAGAATTCAAAGCAACAGTCGTTTCCTTTAACGATTTAACGTCAAATTACTGCAATCCTTCAGAAATTTTGCCACCATTTCTTCCACTACTGGAAAATATAAAAAGCGCATATTTTAAAATTGGGTTTTAAATCAAAACAAAATCATGATTTGTTTATAAAAACTGCTGTGCTTTGGAATACAACAAAAAGAACGGATGCGAAAATGGCGCTAAAATTGAAAAATAGTTGTAAGCATGATATCAAAGTTTAGTGTATTCTGAAAATTTGAAGATTTCTCCTACGTTGGTTACCCTAATATGTAAGCAACGTAATTCCTTACAGTACTGAATAATCGTCAGTAAATTTTTAAGCAGTCAGAAATGCAATATTGAAAGACCTGTTAATGGTGTAGTGTGATTCTGAAGTTTGGTACTTTTTCTAAAGGAGAAGTATACTGTATAGGCTTATCCATGGTTCTACGAAACAGTATTAAAATGCATTATAACTAAACTACGAAATGAATAAATTTTATTATATTCAAACAGGCAGATTTATATATATATATATATATATATATATATTTACATAAGAACTCAATTTGTTCATATTTGCTGATACAGCAAACATCTATACTATAAATCACTTTGCTCCACACTTTGTGCCAGTATGTAATGATTTAGATGCATAACATCGGTGATTATGGTTGGGAAGAGTTAGCGAGCATTAAAGGCATAATGGCTGTATTCCTAACAAAATTAAAATCATTAACAAAAAAGCCTGAAGGTGCTCCGGCATCTCTTCGTCTTATGTGTCTTACTTACATTAATGATAAATTTGAATCGATACACTGTAGCAAATGGTCTGTATCTCTGTGACAGAGTGTGACTGGAACCATCGCATAAATGGTCTCTTTCCTTATGGTAAAGTTTGATTGAGATATTTTCGAAAATTGCTTCTCGATCTGTATGGTAAAAACTGATTCAGATATTCTCACAAGTTTCTGTAGTTTAGAATAGGCAATTACTTTTTTCAAAGAAATAGCATCACTTTTTTTAATTAATTAGAGCATCAGCCAGCTTTCCAGTCAGCGTAAGTAACATTTTAATGATTCATAGGATGCTTGAATGTTTGCCGAACCAGGAAACTGAACATGTTAAGTGTTTGTGGAATATGTGAAACAAGTTTAATGGGTTGTTCTGTATTTTTTTTTTTTTTTTTTTTTTTTAATTACTGATTTTTAAAAAGTTCTCCTCGTGCACAAAGGAAAACAAATCAACTTAAATAATAAATATAAATTATATATATATGATTAGAAAAAGAAATAACGCCAACAAACATATACAGAGAAAATCAGTTACAGTGTTTAAAATAAGAGTCAACAAAGCAAAGTAGAAAAATCAAAGTATGTCGAAAGATGAGAAGTAAATTTATTATATTTCGTGACCAAATAATTCCAATGAATTTTAATGAATTTTTTGCGTAATTAAAGACTTTTTGCCACAGAACTGGAAGTAAATGATGGATCTAATCTGTTATCTTGATAGTTCCATTTCAGACAGCTTGTGCTTAATGATAACGATATTTTTTTCACAACAGAGTGTTCTAAAGGAAGTCTCTTTCTTTCAAATGCCAAAAGTCGTTTGATAAAATACTTGTACAAGTATGATTAAACATTCAACGCGAACTGTTTGTGCAGACGATATTTGCGTTGGCACGAAACTTCCCGTTAAAGCCTGATATATTTGCTATAAATTTTTAAAATGTTTCAAAGGTTTATAGTCCTACAGATACAGCGAAAGATTATGTATATGTTGTCCTATCATTAAACAATTTGGTCCATCATTCTTTCTTGTTCCATCCAATTATTTTTAATTTCAGACGGTAATATGCTTTAAAAAAGGAATGTTTTCTCTATCATGGCAAATGAAATTAGCTGAATACGGCCAATATTGTAAGAAATAGAACTCTGCATAGTGATGGATTCCTGAAATAATTTCAATGATTAAATGTTTAGATGTGAAAGTCAGATTATCTTGATTTCTTTAGCAAGAACATTAAAATAAATTGATTTGCAGCCTCAGCACATGCTGGTAAAAAAAGGCTTTTGCACTGAAATTTAAATTCAGTTAAAGCTGTTTTAACGTATAGATCTCTAAGGCTGAGGGTGAAATTCTGTTTTCTTAGAAATTTTGCAGTAAAAGTATTCTGGACTGAAGAACTGAAAGCATATTCATATAGAATTAGCTTTGGGAATAATTTAAACACTTCTATGACAATCTCCCTTGCGCTTCTTTTATTTCTGGGTAAATTCTGGGAAAGTTGTCTGCGATAAGCACAAAAATTACTTGCACATTAACATTTCCTCTTCACGGGAAAATTATCGGGTTAGAACTATGGAAGCGGTATTTAGGTGCTAAACATTACTTGGCTTTTGGATGGATCCAAGAAAAGTAATAACTTCTCAGAAAGGAAAAGCAATTACACCGCTTTATGACAGTTTTAAATTTGAACGAGTTAGAGTTTCTTTAATTTTAGAAATAAAACCTAGGTTGATTCCGAATTAGAAGTCACAGAATATTTTCACCCTTATTTATTTAGAATAAATGTGATGCACCTGTATTCATTCAGATGTTAGCCAGAAGTCTCTTTCAGACTAGCCGTTAAGTTGCTTAATTGACAAGCTTCTACTGCTTGGCTTCGCAAGAGGTTAATATAGAAAATAGCTTGTTACTATTTTTTATGTCTGCAGCTTTTAGGGCCAAATGAGCTTGATTTAATTTTTTGGCTTAAATTCTTGTGCGACACTATTTGATAATAATGAGTACTACCTCTGACGTATGCTGCGATAAAAAAAAATCTGATGTGTACACCACATGACTTCCTTGTACGGAATATTAAATTATACGCATCTTTTCTTGCATTTTATTTAAACTTATCAGATTGAATTAAACCTACTTCGCCGAAAGCGCATAAACCACAATAGAATAAATGCATTCTTTAAAATTCACTTTGTTTACCATAGCGACACTCTGGCGCTAGGTTTACTTAACAGTATTATATTTCATTCATATTATAACTCAGAATGCACAAAATGTATATCATTTAAAGAATTATCTAATCGTTGTCACATGTTTTATTCAAATACTATAATAAAAGCTAGAACTAGTATGTATAAAAGAAATTAAGCAAAACAAAACAAAACAGAAAAACAGGTTTTCACAGACGATTGAGTACTTCTCATTTAATTATTCAGTTCTCACTTCGCGAGAAGGCAAAAAAATACATAAAAAACTCAAAATATATCTATATATTAAAAATTACGAAGTAAATCTCAAACGCTTATTTCCTCGAAAAAATTCCAGAAAGAATTAAGCATGATTTAATCGGCAATAATAAATGAAGGCGTTATCTTTGTTGTTGCGAAGCTTAGTTTCTCTAGATTGGCAACAAATCCACTAGTCTGCTAAATTTCAAATGTAAACAAACAATGGCCGCCATGGTAATCAAAACAGTAGGCTTAGTCGCACTTAAAAACTTTTAAATTGCTGATAATTCTACAACATATTGCACACAGGATTTACTAAAGGCATAAAAATCCTTAACCGGAAGATGAAAACAACATAATTCAATCATTTTTAAATCAAAAAATGCAAACATTTACAAACATATAAGAGTATGAAGAAACTGAGATCACTGAGCCGGGTAACAGAGTGGATATATATATAAATATATTTATATACTTTGGTAGTGCGGCCGATTGCAACCAAAATACGAGGTGCACATCTACATGTGATAGCAGTCCTATATACAAAATTTCAACGTTCTGAGGCTACTCGTTTTTGAGTTATGCGAGATACGTACGTACGCACGAACGTACGTACGTACGTACATACGTTCGTACAGAAGCCACGAAAAATTCTCTTCAGAATTAATTTTAAAGCAGTTTTATAATTTTTTTGAAGGAAAAGAGTATTTTATTCTGTCCTTACGTACAGATATGACGCAAAAACATCGTTAAATTGCATTCGATAGCGGTCAAAATGGACATTTTCCCTTTTGATATATGCAGCCTGAAACTTTTCGCGATTACAATACTTCCTTTTTACTTCGTACAAGCAAGTAAAAATGGGGAACAGCTCTATATATCATCCGTCCTACGGGGCCGATTGACAAAATTCAAACTGTGTTTTTCATGTTTAAAAAGCTCGACTTAGGATATGCATTAGATTTATATATAGCACTGTTCTAATATAGGTGTTTTGACACAAAATCAGACTTTTTTTTAAATGAAATGCCAATTTTTTCTATATTTCGTTTTTATAACTTAAATTTTGCCAAATTGCTAAGATTCGTAAAAATTGCACAAGTAGTTTAAAAAAAAATTAACTCTCAAAATTTTAGCTCCTCATTGTTAATTGAATTTGATATAAATTAATATCTCCTTTTTTATTAAACTTACTTAATTCCTTTTTATTCCTTATGCATAATTTGAGTCGTAGAATCGAATTATATAAAAAAGTTATTTGTTATTTCAGAAAAAGTCCAATTAGGTGTCAAAATATCTATGTCAGAATAATTCTACATATAAATCAAATACATATCCTAAGTCGCGCTTTCGAGACTTGAAAAATGCAATTTGAATTTCATTAATCGGCCCAGTAGAACGGGAGATGCAGAACTGTCCCTTTTTAGTCCAAAAGGGCACTTTACCCAGAAGGACTATTAATTTCGTTTTGGTATTTTGCGTTGATTTATCACAAGCTTTGTTTCACTTTTCAAATTGTTGCCACCAAATATTATCGCCCTCTATTAGGTTTAAAGTATTAAATAATGAAGAATCTGCATAAATGTATGTATGTTTCTTGCATTGTGATAAAACAACGGTACCTAGAGCCATCAAATTTTGAATAACGCAATCCTCCTGCGAATATGGGCATCTGGAAGCCCTAATTTGAATTTGAAATTTGTTTTATTATCGACTTCAGATTTTGTAACACTTCAACGAATTTTTGATTAAAAAACTAAACGATTTCAAAGCGAGCAATGGCAACACTTTACGAAGAAAACAAAACATTTTTATCTCCAGCGCGCGAGACTCTGTATCGAAATTCTAAAGATATGCTCATTTAAAAATTAATTTGCGATATTGCTGTTGAACTGAATTTTATAGTCTGAGAACGTAGAACATGATATTTAATAAATAAAGTTTAAAATGTAACTTTGGACGTAAATTAAAATCTGAAACGTTTCAGACTTTTTTTCGGGGGGGGGCGCAGTCTACGTGTAAAGAAGTCAATGGAAGTTCATAGATAAGTGAAAGTAATTTGTGATCATTGTTGTATGAATGCAAACTAAATGTAATCCATGAAATATCGTCATACAGGTTCTCTAAAAGTTGAGACATTAAAATGAATTTTTTCAGAATATAAAACTATGAACTCTATTTTTAGGATATAATGGGTATGATTTACCTATTTCTGCCTAATGGAATGGAGATTGTATGAAAGTTATTATGAAATCTTATAAATACTCGAAAACGATACTCGAAGAATTGACCTGAAAGGAGAAATGTACTTTGATTGAGACAAAGCAAAATCCATTTGCAATTTTTACAAACACTGGAAACAATAATAATTCTGTTTTCATATTCTATGCACATAAGTTCTTAAAACTAAGAAAGAAAATTCTGTCTTATAAAGCATTGAAAGACCATAATTCAAAACTCTTTCTTGCTGATATTTTTAAAGAATGTATTGGCTATTCAGCCACAATGAGTTATTAAGTTTAACTTCCGAACATACTACTTTTTACTAACTTCCTTTATGTGTTTACTTAAAGTTAATTCTGGAATTAGACAACATTAAAATTATTGGAGATAAATGCATTTTTTATGCTGATGGGAAGTTTTGTAAGTTGCGACATTTATGCTAGTTTTTATGACATTAAATATGATAGCAACATTTGATACAATATGAATTGTATCAAATAACACATGATGCACGAAACGTTACTTATATAATTAATGTATACTATTTCTCTCAACACCTGAATTTGCGAACATTTAGCAAGCAAGCACAGTATAATAATATTTGATAAATCTTTTATAAATGGTCTTAGATGAACAGCAGCTTCTGTGAATATTAATAAACAACATCATAATCTAGCTGCTATAAACTTTAAAAAAAATAAAATAGAGGTAACTGACATTTATCAATTCTAAAATGACCAAAATTATTTCAACCGTTTTTGTTAAATAATTTGTTAACCTCTGGGAAGTGTTTAAGGTTTGCTTCGTTTTAAGAATTATATTTTTTTTATATTCCGAACTATTATTTAATTTATTTTGATTTTAGAAAGTAGTAACATACGCGAAATAAATCTTTCTGAACAGCTACATTTAAAAACTAACCTGTATCTTACGATTATTATATAAAACTTATGGCACGTGCACTTATAAAATCCAAAATTTCTTTTAGGCAAAAATAAAACTCAGCCGCCCAAATCGGTATAGTGGTCAGGGAAGCTGACTGCGATGCCTGGGTTCGAATCCCGGAGAAGGCATGGTTGTAATTTTCCGTCCTCTTTATATAGGAAAGGCGATGGTGGCCCACCTATTAGGTGCCTCCATAATAAAGAGACCACCATATCCGGCCTTGTATAGATTTAATGGACTGGGTTACATTTGTAATTGTTCACAATCTGCCATTGGAAAAAAAAAGTAATAATAAAACTCATGACACGTGCACTTATAAAATCCAAAATGTCTTTTAGGCAATAATAGTATCAAAACTTTAATCAACCACTTGATATAAAACGGATTCATAACTTCACTATTTTTATTTTTTTTTTTTTTAATCTACGCTTTCTTCTTACTCTTGCGCCATACTAATGATTGAGTGGTTAAGAATTCTAAATACTGGAGTCCTGTGTTTGAATCCCGGAGAATGCAGAGTTTTAACTGCCTATCCCTACATAGGAGGCAGCGGCGGCCGCCTAATAGGTGCTTCCATAATAAAATGGCCACCACTTCTGGGAGTGGCCAGTGCTGAAAAATAAAATTCCTAGCCATTGGATTTTAAAAAAAAAAAAACCCTCTTACTCTTGCTTCTGTTCTGGTAATGTGTTTTCCACCACCTCTTCTCTATTCTGTTGTATTGCGAACTATAAGCACGTAAAAGTCACTTGTCATTCTGGAACTTTTACTGCACTCATCTTTATGTTTGTGTACTGTTTTATCGTCTTCTTTTAAATAAATTGTTCAAAAAATCAAAATCATGCGAGAGTATACATGACCATCTATTATCAAAAGAAACAATCACCAGTAAAAGCATAAGCCTCATCGTCATGCTTTAAGACACCCAACCTAAATTTTCATTACATGTACATGCATTTGCAATCTGTTCATAAAGCATTGCGATTATTGTCGCAATGCTTTATGAACAGATTGCATACCTTTTTTTTATAAAAAAAAGGTGCATATAAAAATGCATATAAAAAGATATGCATATGGTAATAAAAAAGATTAAAAAAAGATATGAAATTACACCTTTTTTATTTAAAAAAAGGTATAATTTCATACTTTTTTTTTATCTTTAACTGAGGGTTTATAACTTTACCCTGGCGTTTCCTTAAATTTTTAAAAACAATTTTTTTAATTTATTTTTCAGGCCAACGTTTTGCAATGCTGGAAGAGAAAACTGTTGTCGCCAACATTTTGAAGAGGTTTAAGATCGAAACGATAGACAGCAGGGATAAACTGCGTCTAACAGCTGAGATGGTACTTCGAAATGACGGCCCTTTGCGCATCAGGGTTCACAGAAGACATCCTTCGTGAGCTGATATCATCTTCGACATCCCATTTTAAACTTCGACTACTAGATAGAAGTAGCCGTTCTGTGGCAACAGGGAAAAGAACCAGATGGTTATATATTAACTGCATAGAAGTTTTCCTTGAATATAAATGCATATTTGCATATAAAGACAACAAATGTGAACTGATATTCAACGTATGCTCTCAGGAAAAGCTAATATTAAATCTTATTTCAGGTTCTATACGTTATAATTGTAGAAACCATCCTAATTCATATGCTCTCTAATCTTTTTCTGCTATCTCTTGAAAACACCTCTTCTGCCTTCTGTTCTTATGAGCCCTCTAAGAGTTTTATAAAACTTTATCAACAAAATATACTAAGAAACATAGTAATTAAAATTATAACCATTGATCTGTACATATATCAATAAGCAAAACGCAAGAAATCAAAAGCATACATGTAAAATAATTCATTGCAAAAGTTGTTTATGAAGTTCATGTAAGTGTGATGTTAAGGAAGTAATGCGAACTTCATGTCGGATGTAGTCATACTTCAGTAAGGATTTAACTACGTACATTCTTTTTAAGTCCGATGCTATATGTTCCCTATCCTAGTCACAGAGGACTGTTTGAAGGTTTTAGCAAAGGTGATCTTTGAATCTAAGATTTTGATTCTAAGCAACTTATAAAGAGTTCAGATATATTTTGAAATTCCGTTTGTTAAGAACTGTTGCCTTCCAACAAACATTTGTATTTTAATCTTCTGTAAAATAAAGTTTTTATTTTTCCTTGCACAGCAATAACTATCTTGATGTTTATCACAGGATGTTTCAGTAAATCGGTTACAAACTTTCAGGAGAGATGGAGTACACCTAGACGATGAAAAATCACAAAAGAATGCATGGTCGAAAAGGCTTTTCAAATGCAGTAGTGAAAACACAAGAGACAAAAAAGGAAGAACATGAATAGTGTGAGGAAATACGTTTATTATGCTTAGTACAGCAGACAATGAAGACATAAGAACAAAAATAGACAAATATTGTCATCAAAGTATGTCTCCACGTCTCCGGCACATGGAAGATCTATCGTTCTGGAAAGTACCGGGCATATTCCGGCTTTCCTAGTAGCTGTCACGATACGTGCAAGAAGTTTCTCAGCACTTCTAAAGGGGATTTCGTACACCAATGTCTTGACGTATCCCTAGAAGAAGTAGTCAGAGGTCTGGCGATCTTTTGCTGCCCAATGCACGAGACCACCCCTGCCGATCCCCTGTTGAGGATAGGTTTCGAACATAATTTCGAACACTTTCTCTGACGGCGATCGCCTGTTTTGGTTCTTAATTTTTCGTTTCTGCAGAACTAATCCTCATAAACAGATTCTCATGCTATTCGTGTCCTTCGTTTCTTGTGTCGTCACTACTGCGCCTGGAAAGCATTCCCGACCATACATTGCTGTGTGTTTTTCCATTGTCCAGGTGTATTCTACCTGTCCTGAAAGTTCGTAACAGATATGCTGACCCACCTTGTATATAGTTCTTGAAAATAATGTACATATTCCGTAAGTATTTGAAAAACAGATATGGTCTCGGTAGATTTTCTACCCGCTTTTACTAAATTTTCAAAAACATTGACAAATATATTAATGGGCTTCAAACTGGTTACTGAAAGTATTACTGTTTGCTAAATCCTTTGTTAAATTCGAATATAAAGTTATTCGAACGCTTTGTTAATTCTCCCAAAGTATGAGACTGTGAAACGATGCACGTTGTCTTGACTATTGTCAACGTGAAACGATACACATTGCCTTTTTGTATATTTATTATTATTATCGACATCACATTAATCCTGTATTCCTGATTTTTATTGTTGTTATTGTTGTTTTCGATTCATTTATGGTATAACGAAAGTGAAACTGTCTTAGCATAGATTGTTCTGCGCTTGATTTCGTTACTCTGTATTATCTCTGTTAATGCTTACTCTTATGCTGTTACTTATTTTATTTATGTTTGTATCATCTTTCCTGAAATAAATCATTTAAGTGTGTTATGTATTCATTGCTTACTGATATTTATAACAAATTTAAAATTGAGTATTTTATGGATTTTTATTTATAGTTTCTGGCAACGAATACTCTTGTTATTTGCCTAACAGGAAGGAATGACTTCTGGGAAAACATTTTAAAAACCTGTTACGTAGTCATGTTAAACAGAAAAACTTCAAAAACGCACTTGCAGCCATGTCATTTTAGCCAGATTCGAAATACCAGTATTTGTCGATCTTATCCGCTTGGCATTTGTAGGAGGTTATATGTTAATAAACTATTTAATAAACCAACTAGAATTTAGAATGTAATGACACTGAAGTATATAACCTCAGAAAACATAATATTTACGTTACTAAAGCTGATTAAAATCCATAAAAAATGGCTAAAACGAAATACAGTAAAAAACTGCTATTTAATGCAATTTCTTTGTGACTGTATCTCTAATAAAAGGATATAATGAAGTTTAAAGGAACTCAGTATTCCTGAGTTTATTAAATAGCTTTAAATAAAACTCTTAATAACAAATAACTATTTGCTATGAGTTATTTTCATGAATTTTAAATAATGCTATTACAACTCTGGAATGTTGTATTATTTAAGCGATGTTATTACATACTTGAATATATACGGTTTCTAATTATAGTTTACCATTTACGTTCTAGAACATCCAACATTTGATAACGTTAACATAAATAATTTTCGAACACCTTACGTAATTGTACTGTGCGCTGTTATGTGATATAAGTTATATCTAGAACAGCAAATAATTGACTGTAACATAGGACTACATTTTAGAAGAAAAATTTTGTGAAGGAGTTTATCGCTTGATAATGTTAAATAGAAAGCTTGGTAAAACATTAAACGTCTTCGGAATATTTCTCAAGGGATTCGGTCTCCATTTCCGAAATGTATGGATAAAGATCCAGAGAGGACACTCAGAATCAATGGTGTTTAATTACTTAGACAGGTGATGTGTCAGCTGTTAATCAGCTTAATTACCTTAATTAATTAACCTTAATATTATATTATTGTAGACATTTGATTATTTTGCAAAAAAATTGTAAACTGTAAATTGATTTTATTTCCTTAAACCTAGTCACTTTTGGCTACTGAAATTCTCTACATGTAATAAAAGAAAGAGTTTGTCTGTGTAGCGTGTGTCTTGTTCTTCCTTGCGCGTAAGCTAATAGACCCAGAGCTACGAAATTTGGTATATGTGCATCTAGACAAGAGCTAGTAGCGATTTTTTTAAAAATTCGAATCAGATTTCTTTCTTTTATTTTTTTTTATTTTTTTTTTTTTTTTGATGAAATCGAATCATTTTGAATAGTTTCATTCTTTTAAAAATGTGCTTTTGGCAACAGTTTTTCGTTCAGTGCTTTGTTTACTGGACTGCTGACTGTTGAAAATATGAGATAAAATATTGCTTATTTTCTTTTGATTTTTGGACGCGCAACATTCACATCACAATCTTCTTATTCCGACGCGCATCTGTTTCGCGAGGCACAACAGAAAGAATTTCCTTTTTTTTTTTTTTTTTTTTTTCCCTCTCTCTCTCTTTTTATTAGCTAATGGCAAAGAGGTTTGTATACTTTGAATTATGCCATTCACAAAGCACAATTTTGATTGGTTATTGCTCTGATGATAGTTTCATTCTTTTAGAAATGTGGTTTTGGCAACAGTTTTTCATTCATTGCTTTGGATACTGGACTATTTTCTCCTGAAAATATGAGCTTTACTGCTTATTTCATTGTAATGTTTTCATATTATGTTTTAATTATATGTAATTTTAATTGTATAAAACGTTTTGTATGATTTTTTTAGGAAATAAAGTTTTTGACTTCCTTTATACCATTTGAATTCTTAAGATTTTGCAACGGGAAGTTGGTTAATTTATTTATTAGGATAATTAATATTTGTAATAAGGGATATTGCTTATTTCATAGTAGTTTTTTAATAAGTGATACATTTTCAGTGATTTTTTTTATAAATTTGTTCTGCAGAGTAAAATTCTGTGCTGGTTTTAAATTTAATGTTTGATGTTCCCTTTAGGCATTTTTAAGGTACATTTAAAAGCCAGACGAAGGCTGGCCGCGTAGCAGCTAGTATTAGAATAAAAGAGATCAGCGGTTACAAAACGACTCTAAATCCGTAATCTTTGTTTCGTCTCTGGCTCAAGGAATAAATGTTACAGAGGGTTAAAGATCCCACGATGTATTTTTTAATTAACGGTATATTTATTAAAAAGAAGATAACGTACAGCCTAATGCTCTTTACAGTGGTGATATCTGTTTTCACTTGGGGTTTAAAGCAGCGGTATTTGAGTTTCCAAGCTCCGTGGGTTCTGAGCATTTTGAAGTTCTGTAAGGTTAAGTTGTTACTTGAATATATCAAAGAGCATAAAAGCTGTCTATTTAACAGCAGGAATGCCTTCGTAGAGGACTTCCTGGAAAAAATATCGCTTATATTCATGAACAGGCGCTCACTTGTCAAAGGAGTTCTACATAAAAGACAGGATGAAACGGAATAACAAATTTTAAAGCAAATTGTAGGAACACAAATAACACTTTCCTGAAGTTTAGGATGGAGTAGTCTTACATAGATTATTCATATACAGGTTTCTAAAATGATCTATCTTAACAGTTGTGATATATTTCTTAATAGTGGTAATATTAATGCTGTTGGATTTCAAAGAAGGTAACTAACTAATCTCTATATCACCGCTCGTTCAACTAAGAAATTCGGGGACTGGCACAGAGCACCAGTAAGAGTCACCCAGAAGATGATTTTTCACACACCTGCTGGGCACAGGGTCCCACGAGACACCAACAAATTTTTAATCTCCCTCTGCTAAACACTCAAGTTTAGCGGACCCACCGCTAAACACGGACCAGTCAGAACCACCGTCCCGGTCGGACCAAGACCACGGTGGGGCGGGCTGATGACAACTTGGAGCGATGACTGGCCGTTAATTATGGCTACTTGCCAGCACTACACGGGATGCCCCTCTCCTTAGGCTTTACATGGAATACCAAGGACAGCAGTGATCAGACTCTCAATGGTCCAGTTTGCTATTTGGCTACCAGTACTCTGGTGGATGAGGACTAACACCTCACGGCCCATGAAGAGCGAGTATAGACTCATCCCATGAACCATCGGGAACCGCCAAGTTCATAAATTTTATACCCCCGTGGCCGAGACTGTCTAGGTACAAATCCTAGCCAGTACTTCGCAGAGTACTCTACGTCAACTCCGGGGGGTCAAGGAAGGTAAAAGACACAATTAGCTAAAATAAGGAGAATTTGTGACCTGTTCCATTAACGAAACATTAAATTAAGGATAAGCTATACGTAGCATGTATAATAAATTTCAGAACTCCTGTGCTAATTATTTACACCCTTCTAACTGGTTCTTCTTATAAAATTAACATTGTCATTACTAAGCACTTGAAGTATTATGATGATGTAGCAATAGTCTAATATGATTCCATACGTTGGTAAGCATTATAAGTGTGTGCAACTGTAAATCAAGTTCTATAACTTTACGGCTATCCAATTTATCTACTATAAAATAACTTTTTAGGTCCACTAAAATAGTTCCAGTCTTATTTTAGAGGAGCTGACTAGTCAAATTACAGCTGTAACCTTTCAGATATTTGTGAAATATCATCGTGACGAGTACAGACCATGATAACAGCAAATGATGGGCTGATTTGCTGAAGTAATGTAATACTGAAATAGCACAATGCTTTTGATAACATGATTGTAAAATATTACAATATTTTTTACTAGATGATTTTTCTCCATGGTAAATATAAATTTAGGTCATATTAACTGATCAATGCAAACACGAGGTTCTGTGTGCTTAAGCAATCTTAAACAGGGACTGTTCAATGACATGGTACATTGTCGTCAATGAAAAGAAATTTGTTACCAAAAGCGCAATGAAAAAAAGAGAACACAAGACAATAGGACTTCTTTAATGTATTATTGAGCAATCATAGTAATAGTCACAAATACATGGTAGCGAGTAAGGCCACTGACCATAATACCGGCCCGTACAATGTTATTGCATTTTGGATATAGGTTCCTTTCCTGGATATTTTCTGGTTAGGTTTGATTTATCTGATTTTGACAAAGCACTCGAGGGCTACTTGCCTAAAAGGAGGACTTTCTAAGGGAAGCGAGCTGATATACAAGTTGCACATGGTAAGAACACAAAAAGACTCATGCAGCCAACCCTTTTATTGGGATTCGAACCCCGAACCGAACTATTAGTGTTTACCTACTTTACCGCTGGCTGCTGGTGAGCAAATATTTTCTGAACGATAAGCACGCCTACTCTGACCGCGATGTCATTATATCGTTTACAGTCCGATGAGAGAATGAACCTGATCCTCATCTGAGAATAGTACGCAAAGTCTTCTTCAGTTCAATTGCGATGCTGGCAACAATAAATTCATTCGCTACCTGCTGGCAGGGGGTGAATCGGATTATTTTTGCTGATAGGCTATGTACCTGTCTTACATCTAACACGACCTCTCCCGTGACGCTAGCTACACGTTCCTGGTATTTTGATGCGTTCCAAGGTCATTACAAAGCTGTAGTTGTTCCAGGGTCATGAAACGAAGCTATTGAAGTCCATGGTAACATATGTTATATTTCGGCCTTCTCCAATCTTCCAAAGATACAATCAAGGGTAAAATCTTCTAGGTGATGTAGGAAGTAGGAAAAACACACCAAAACTTTCAAGATCGCCAATTAAATCTTTCGCATAAAACTTTCACGCGGTACAACTGCCCGCCCGACTCAAATCCTTTAAGTTTTTTAACAACGCTATCAGTGAGAACAGCACAGGAAATGAAAATTTGCAAATGAACACCTGTTCTTACTACATCCTGTAATTTGCCGCCCAGTGTGGTGGTTAGGTGGCATTGTGGTAAGGGAGCCAATTGTGATATCGAAGGGTCCGGGTTTGAATTCCGGATAAGGCATGGATGCAA